TATCGTCCTTTCCACATCCTTCGCATTCTATTTTCACCACGTTTCAACTTTGATGAAGTCCCCTTTTCGTTTTACGAGGACCCGCTAGGAACAAAGGGATGGCATCGACGTCAGGACGGAGCGGCCTCGTCGCGTGGTCGCGGTTCGGCGGGCGCCGGTTCTACCCCCCCTCCCCCCCCCCCTCGAAATACCCCACGACGTATACGACGACGACGGGTACTATTAAGACGAAAAGGGAGAATTTGACGGATTCCGGGAGCCCTTATGAGGGTTGTGGGCCCTCTTTCCGCCCCCCCGAAGGGGGTTCCGCCGGGCCGGCGTGGACGCGGCTTTTCCCGCCGCCCCACCCGACCCGCGCGGCCCTGGCGGAGCTCGCGGCGCGCTGCCTTGCGCAGCAGGCCGCCACGCACTACGCCGTGTACCTCCCCGCCCCCTCGGCCCGGGGGGATCGTTTCCCGGCCCGCGAGAGCCCCACCCCGGGGGATTTTCTGCGGCTTCTGCGCGCGCTTTCCCGCGCGGGCTGGGCGGAGGCCTACGGCACCCGCATCGCCGGGGTGTTGGTCGAGTTATTGCGGAAGCCCCTCCATCCCCAGCTCGGCGTGCTCGGGCCGTGGGACCGGCCGGCGGGGGCGGTGGCGGGCCTCAAGGCGGAGGCCCTGCAGCTCGTGATGGGGGGGATCGCCGCCCCCGAACGCGCCCTGGGGTGGCTGATGAGGGTGCTCGCGATGCGGCCACAGGAAACGGGGGAAATGGGGGCGACTTCCGCCATCGCGGGCCCCGCGGCGGTGGTGTGGACGGCCGTCGTGGAAAGGCTCGCGCGGGGGGGCGATTCCGTCGCGATTCGGCTGGCCGACCCCCGGGACGACGCGGTGTTGACCGCGCCCGAGCTGATCGCCGCGGTCGCCGCCGCGTTTATGCGATCCGCCGAGGAGGGTTGGCGGAAGGAGGGGTTGGCCCTGCTCGAGGAGGCCGCCCGGGCGCGGTCCCGCGCGCCAGGCCGGCGGTGTTTTACCGAGGCCGTTGTCGAGTACTGCGCGGAGGCGGCGGCGATGGTGGGGGATTCGGAGATGGTCACGCGGCTGATGTTTTTGTGGTACCGATTTAATGGCGACCCCGCGCGGGGGAGGACCGGGGGCGGGCGAAGCGAAATCCCCAACTTCTTCTCCATCGGCCAGGCCTTGCGGGGGATTTGCGCGCACGTCAAGGGGCGAACCGATCATCCCCCCCCACGGGCCTTCATCGCTTCTGAATTGCCCCATCACGACGTCGGCTTTGAGCGGACTTCGATTCGGCTGTTAAAAAGCGTCGTGCGGGCGGTGCTTTACGCCCCTTGTGCTCAGCATTCCCGGTTTTCGAATTTGGCCGCCTCGGGGGAGCCGATCGACGGGGAAACCCCCACCGGGGAGGCGTCCTCGCTGCTTTATTCCCTGAAGGAGGCGCTTGGGTGGGTTAAATCGCTCCGAGGCCGGACGACCTGGGCCGGGGTGGCCGGGATGGCGGTGGAGCTGCTGCGCTACATCGCGGAGATCCCTTCCCCCCTCTCCCCACGCCATCCTTTGCGATATTCCCGCGGATTATCCACCGCCGAGGTCCTCCAAGTGGGGAATTACGCCTTGGAGGTGTTGGAAATCGCCTTGGATGCGATCCCGCGCGCGGAGGAAGGGGTCCGCCGGAGCTGCGTCGAACTTTGCCTGCGCGGCTGCGGGCCTTTTATTACGGCTCTACTGCAGGAGCTTTCTTCTACCTCTTCTTCTTCTTTTTCCCCGGGCTTTTTTCCACGCCCAGGGGGGGATTTATTCTTTTCGGGCGTGGGGGAGGGGGCCGTTTTGGCTCTTTTTCGGGCCCTCCCGCAAGGGGGGGAGGAGGCTTTGCTGCCCTACGCGTTGTGGGCAGCGATTCGTCTGATTGCGCGGATCGCCCGTGGGGGAAAAAGAGAAGCGGAAGAAGCCATCGCGAAAGGGGGGAGGACGTTCACCCTGGACGACCCGTCCCCTTTGGGGGTGCTGTGCGATTATTTTACTCGCCTTCAGGCCCCCGCGTATTACATCGCGGCCCCTCACGACTCCCCGGCGGATCGGCTCTCCGGCGGTCTTCTTCTTTTTCTCGCCTTGATGCTCACGCCGGCGCATGGGGAGGATTCGCGGACGGCGCCGCTCACCGCGCGGTTTTGCGGCGGGGGCCTCCACCCCGCGCAGATCCGACAGACCCAGCAGGATTGGCTCCGCCTCTCCGGCAGCGCCCAACGCCGCGCGTTATGGCGGATTCTCCATTATTATTATTATTCCGATTGCTATTATGCCGACGCCCGACATCGTCTGGAGCGCAAAACGACGCCCCAGGGCGGGACCTCGCCCGCCCTGAGCTTTCCCCTCCCAAGCCATCTTCACCAAGCCATCAAGGCAAACGTGTCGTTGATGTGTGCGATGGCCTTGAAGGAGACGCCGAGGCGGGAGTTGGAGTGCGAGGAGCTCGCGCGCGTTTTGTACGACTACGGGATCTCGCCCTCGACCTTCGCGCAGGTGAACGGTTTGCTGACTCGGTGGATGGGGTTTGCGGTGGAAACGACCTCGCTGATTCGAATCGTCGAGGGCGTTTCGCGGATGGCGCCGAATGCCCCGTGGACCGCGCGGCGTTCGAGCGGGCACCATACCGATGCGATTGTGGTGATCGGTGTGAGCGCCTTGACCAAACTCGACGACGGCGCGACCGCCGGAGACGACGCGCCGTCCCGGGGTTTGGGGACTTTTATAAACCAAACTTTTCGGCCTTTTTTGTCCTCCTCCGACCGCTCTTTTCACGTGACGCTTGTTTTAACCTACAAAGGGCTTTTGTACCTCAAAAACGCCAGGGATGCCTCGGTGGAGAGTCGGCGTTGGTTTTCCGGTGGGCTTTTGGGGAAACTCCGGGATTTGGCCCAGCCCGCCGCTGGGGGGGTGGGGTTTCCCACGAGGCGTATAGTTTATACATCGCCGCCCCGCACACCCTCCCTCGAACCCGCCCACCCTCCATTTCCGCCCTAAATGAGGCGCTTTCATGGATGGATGGCGTGGATGAGGCCTGCTTTCTTTCCCACACGCTCTCGAGTACGCTCAGTCGGGCCGCGGAGGGCTGCGTTCGCGAGGTTTTCTTCTGGAATGAAGAGGAGGAGGCGATGCGCGAGGAAATTCAGCCAATCCAGGCGCTGCTCAAAGAACATCACGTGCATTTGCTGTCCGTCAGACGCGGACAGATCCAAAAGGCAAAGCACGTCATTTTTAAACTTCTGCAGGATCCGCCGGCTGCCCCTTTGTCCACGGCGAAGCTGCCGGGCTCGCGGATTGGGCGATTTACGCGGCCCGTTGAGAAGAGCGCGTTTGATGGTATTGATCATCGCAAAACGGCGGGATAAAACGCTTCGAGGAGCAAAAAAAAAGCTGAGCTGAGCTGAGAACGCACCGGCGTGTGAGGAACGGAAGGTCTCGAATGGGAGCCATTTGAAGTGCTTGATCCTCTATATGTTCGAATTAATAGTGATTTATTTATTTACTTTATTCTGTGTATTAGTATCTGAGTGTATTTTACCCACTTCCCTTTTTTTTACACCTTTTCTTCATACATTTTTTTTTTTGGTATCGAATCTGCATAAATTCGAGTAAAAGGAGAATACTTTGTTTTCCCCTTCTTTTTTTTTCCCCCTCTCCCCGATATGTAGAATTATTCCCTTTGTATTTTTATTTGTTTGTTGACTCTCTCATTTATTTCTGTGTTTTCACGGCATTAGAGTAAATTCGAAAAATAAATTATCAAGTCAATAATAATAATAATAAAAATTACTGAAGTGTGGATATTTTAATGAAGATTGTGATTCAACGAGTCTTGCGCGGCGCGGCGACTGTGAATGGGGAGACGGTTGGTTCAATTCAAAAGGGGATGGTTGTTTTAATCGGAATAGACCGCGAGGATACACAGGACGATATGGATTACATCGTGCGCAAGATACTTACCATACGGATCTGGCCGAACGAGGAGGAAAGGCCGTGGAGGTTGAATATTAAAAATATTAATGGGAGTATTTTGATGGCTTCGCAGTTTACACTTATGCATAAGTCAAAGGGTACGAAGCCGGATTTTCATCGCGCGATGGCCCCTGAGGGGGCTTTGGAGATGTTTAATCGCATTTGTGATAAACTTCGAGCGGAGTATGATCCGGAGAAGATCGCTACTGGAAAGTTCCAGAGTTATTCATCTATCGATATTGTTAATGATGGTCCAGTAACTTTTATTGTCGACAGCAAGAACCGAGAATAATATTATCTTGAACACATTTTTTCAGTATTAGATTTCTTTCTTTTTTTTTTCCTCCTCTAAAACGATTATATCTGTGTATCTTTGTTTTATATACCTTTCCCTATTTCCTATCTGATTTATAATATGAAAGTGAAGTATGTCTAAAAAAGGTAAATTTTAGAATTTCGTCTAAAATTCTTAGAGCTTTCACGTTTGTTTAGCGCCTTATTTTGAACCGCTTTTCAATGCGAAGGGTAAGTTTTTTTCTTGTATTGTGTATGCTTGCAGACATCATAATTTTAGCTAACTGAAAATATTTTATTGGTAATGTTTCCTTGTGAAAGAAAGTTATTTAGCATATAATAAAAAGGCTATCCATAAGGATTTGTTTATCTCTAGCTTTCGACATACATACGTGCTTCGGCTTACAATCATATTAATTCTGTCTGTTATATTTTCATCTTAATTGTAACTTCTTCTTAGGATAGCTTCAGTTGAGATCGTATATTTTCTTTAATATTTATTCACCTTATGTGTGCATAATTCCTTATGTATTTGAATCTAAGAGTACCAGCAATAGTAAATAAAAAGTGTTAACCTTCACCTTCTCCACCTTCCTATTTTAAATTCCCAATTTATGATGCTGATGGAATCCGTATACTGAAGCATGACTCTATTCGTTAGGACTCCGCTATATTTTTTACTTGGTGTTCAATAAAGCTTAAATAAGCACTTTGTGCACTTTGTGATGTAAGGCATTTTTTTGGATTATTCATTTAATGGCACTTCGGTTTGCCTTGCTGCATTTTTTATTGGAATTTCCTGTGCTCGTTTGTAGGTAACGATGTCTACGGAAATCCCCACGACGTACCTCTCGTCTGTATTAACTTAAATAAGCTGCGTGTAGTGTGTCTGCTCACGGTGTCGGCTTAACGTGCTCTATTACTATGTTTCTTAGTGCAAAAGACCTGTCACACCGGTAGTCTTCCCCAACCCCATACTTATCCCCCCCCCCCCTTTTTTTGTTCTATTCCTTCCCTTCCCTTCAGTTGCAACGTTGTTTTCCTGCATATTCTTATTTGTGACCGTTTCCATTCTGGTGCTGGTTGCTTTGCCCTGTCGTCGCCTCCGATGCGGTCCTATCTCGCCGGCGCTCCCGCCCTGTCGGTTCGCCGCGTCGCGCCGTTACAGGCCCCGGGGTCGCACTCCGGCCGCCTTTACCACCCTCAGCCCTCGGGCTACGCCCCCGGCTCGTCCTTCCCGGGGGGTTTTCCCGAGCCCCCCCCTCCCCCCCTCCCTCCTTCGGCTTTCTACGCCGCCCCGCCGGGGGGTTACAACGCGGCCTACCCTCCTCCTTTCTACGCCGCCGCGCTGCCGCACTGGTCCTCCGCGGTGCTCCCAGGCGACCTCGGGACGAAGGAGCGGCCCATCGTCGTGACCTCGGCCCCCACCCGGCCGAGGTGGGGGCGGCGGATCTGGTGGATGCTCCTCGCCGGGGTCGGGATCACTTTCTTTTCGGGCCTCCTCGACGACGTCTCCGAGCGCTTTCAGGATAATTTGGACTCGACTAAGGTGGGCGGGATGCAGCGCGGGGGGCTCCAGTCGATCCTCAGCAGCACCGAAATGAAGCCGGTGAATTTGGAGAATCTGGAGACAACCTTCGAGGACATCCGAGGCTGCGATGAGGCGAAGAGGGAGCTGCAGGAGATCGTTGAGTTTTTGAAGGATCCGGGGAAATTCCACGACCTCGGCAGCCGTCTGCCGAAAGGGGTCCTGTTGGTGGGGCCCCCGCCTGCGGAAGACGCTGCTCGCGAAGGCCATCGCAAAGGAGGCTGGGGTGAGTTTCTTCTACGCCACCGGGAGCGAATTCGATGAGATGTTCGTCGGGGTTGGCTCCCGCCGGATTCGCGATCTCTTCGCTGCGGCGAAGGCGCGGTCCCCTGCGTTAATTTTTATTGACGAGATCGACGCCCTCGGGGGAAAGCGCTCGCGCGCCGACCACGCCTACTCGCGTATGACCCTTAACCAACTTCTTGCCGAGATGGACGGCTTCCAGACGAACGAGTCGGTGATCATTATTGCGGCCACGAACACGCCGGAGACCCTCGACAAGGCGCTCACTCGGCCTGGACGGCTGGATACGACGATTACGGTAGATCCGCCGGATATGAAAGGTCGTGCGGAGGTCCTTCAGATTTATCTGGACAAAATAAAGGCCGACAGTTCGGTGAACGCGATGGAGATTGCTCGGGGGACGACGGGGTTCACGGGTGCTGAGCTGAGCAATCTCGTGAACCTCGCCGCGATCCGGGCCGCGGTTCTGAATAGGCCTGTTGTGGGCAAAGATGAGATCGAGTACGCGCGGGATCGGGTGATGATGGGGGCAGAAAGCAAGAAGGTCATCCCCGAGAAGGAGCGGTTGATTACTGCCTATCATGAGGGCGGACATGCGCTGGCGGCGATACTTTTGAAGGACGAGGGGGCGGAACCGGTGCATAAGGCGACGATTGTCCCTCGTGGGAATGGAATTATGGGGTTAGTCCAACAAATGCCGGATCGAGATAAATACAGCCGAACTCGGCGAGAATGTCTAGCCTCGTTGAAGGTGTGCGTTGCCGGGAGGATTGGAGAGGAGGTGTTGCTTGGGAAGGAAGATATCACCACCGGGGCAGGGTCGGACTTCCACCAGGCTACCAACATCGCGCGAAATATGGTTCGCCGCTATGGGTTTAGTGATGATATGGGATTTATTGACTACGAATCCTCCGATACTCCGGAAGGGGCTTACATGTCCGACGAGACCAAACGGAAAATCGAAAAAGCGGTTCAAGAACTAGTCAACAATTCCTACGTTGAGGCCAAGAAGCTTTTGGAGAGCCATCGGGCTGAGTTAGATTGCATTGTGAACTATTTGCTAAAATATGAAACCCTAAGCGGTACTGACCTAGAAAAAATTTTAAAAGGGGAGCCAATTCCCCCACGAACAGTCGAATCAAAGCCAGCTCCAGCGCCTCGAAACTCTTCTTCCAATGAATCCAGACGAGGAAAGCCGAAAACGGTTCCGATATCCTGAACTATACGAGGATTATCCCTCTCGTTCAATTCTCTGTCGGAGTGTTTTCCGTTATGATGTTATAGTTATTTATATCCACATTTTGCATGCTAATTTTCAAAATTAGCAAAAACAAGCTTCGTACATTTTTGTTAACATAATACGAACTCGGATTGCTATTATAGGCGGGCAACTGAATGTATTCTACTTGCTATGCTCCATCATTCTTTCACTATCTTCGTGGAATTTAAGAGATTTAACATATATATATGTCAGATATTGTGTATTATTTAAGAATGAATAGCTTTTAGAAACCATATCAGGCTTATTTATTTATGAAAATATAAAACGAGTTTTAGTATTTTCTAACCATATATATATATATATATATATATAATGCTATACGATCAAGAAGTAATATGCTGAAAGATCGTTAGTGCTTAAATATATTCCCAAGCTTCGGCTCACTCGTCGAGCTATCGATAAATTTCCCCCTTTTTTGCCTTCTTTCATAGCAGATTCCTTTCACACATCCCCTCAGGTATGATACAACGCCAACAACCAGTCGCATACGGCACACCATTTAGCGGATCCACCGTCCCTTCAACCCGTTCTTTTTTTTTTTCTAGCTTCAATTATTAACACTATACCCCCCTTTCCCCTTTATATTTAAACCCCCCTCACTTACCTCTCACAGGCAATGCGCCGGCTCCAGCCCCCCCCCCTGGTGTCCCC